CTCAGATAGGGAAAGCAGCACTGCAGGCAGTACTGGTGCACAGCTAGTCCCAGCAAAGCCACAGCTCAGCATAGTCTTGGATTCCTGAAGTTGTTTGTGTAACGCAGTTGCCTTTGGCATCCTCTTTCCTACCCCCAGAGAGGCTGAGTTCACATCAACTTGCCTGGAACGTTCCCTGAACAAATGTTCCTGTACCCAGACCAGTGTCCTTTAGAAAGAGATTAATTTATAGGCCTCAAGCATGCAAAACTTGGGTCTAATGGCTGGGACTGGAACGGTTTACCACGAAAGCCACCCTGAAAATAGAGAAACCCAGCACTATTATGCCTTTAATAATCCTTACACAGTGCACAGGTAGGTCCAAATATGTTTCACCAGCCGAGCTGCCTTCCACTCCTCGCAAGGATTTCGGGACCTATCTCCATGCAAAGCGTTGCATGGCTGCACTTACAGCCTCTTCCTTCCCCTTTCCAGCAAAACACAGCACCAGAGCCACTGAAAGGCTCCATTTCATGCAGAGATCCTAAGTCATATCACAGCACATGGAGCTGGACCTATTTATTCCTGGGCTAAACTAAGGCACAAAGTCAAGTGACTTGCCTAAGGTCACCCGTCAGCAGGCTCAGCCTGGTTTAATCCTCAACTCCTCATCGCTCCAATCTGTGCCATCATTTCTGTTGTGCACAGCAAGACTAATTACTGCCTTCCCACTGGAATTACTTGGGCATCCAAACCGCCTCGACCCCGCTTAGGAAAAGCATCTGGCTCTCCTTTTGGATTTCAGCTTCATTATTGAGCTGTTAACATGAACCATCACTGTTCATACCATAAAGGCTTCACTGACAACGGCACGCGTATGGGGGAGTGCTGAGATATAACCCTGTTTTGTAGCTTCTCCCCACGGTTTAATACAACTCCTTTCTAGCTTAACGCTCTTCAGCTACATTAAGACTCAGGGAATAGAATCGCTGTGGTTACCGGGATACAGAGATTCCATAACACACAAGAAAGTACATTTCCAACATCTCCCATCACTTCAAAACAATTTGCACGAAGCAAAAATAACTTCTGGACTCAAACTCATCCCAACTCACACACGCAACATGTCCACTAGCTTTCCCAGTGGGAAAAGCTGGCAGAAAGGAGACCAGGAGAGTAACTTCTGACTACTGAATCCAAGTGCTTTAGCATTCCAGGGGGGAACAAACCAAAACCCTGCCCTCAAAGCAGCACGAATATTGGTTTTATCTTAGTGGGAGCATCCCAAGGAAGCCTGCAATGTAGGAACTCAGCCTGACCGCCCATGGAACCACTCAGATGACTTAAGACTGTGTTTTTCCCTAATACACAAGTACCCAGAAAGCAAGCAGGAAACTACAGGGTGTATCTTAACAGAGCACCAGGAATTTGGAGTGGCAAGGAAAAATGCCTGGGGGAAAACAAATGCAAGATAAAGGGAAGATAAAAAGGGGGAATGCAGTTTGGGTTTGCTTTCCAGCTCAAGTATCCCTCCCTTTATAGCTGTTGTTCAGGATCACAGATTGGTTCCTGTGCAGACTGCAGTTGGTTTGGAACATGGAAAAACACCCATTTCATACCTTCAAGTCCTGCAGTTGGGTAACACACCAACTTCCCTATAGCACACAGGAATAAGCCACTGTGCATCACTCTAATGAAGCCCTGCGGGTCATGCTGATCGCTTTCCAGCCCAAAATTCACCATCTTCTGGGAAACAAAAATCACTCCAAACCCAAATTTATGGTAATTCTGCTGTCCAAAGAGCCCAGCTCAAACTTCAAATGGGGAAGAGGAATCCATGAGGTTTTTAGGTCTTGCCTTGCCAAACCATGCTGATGACCATCTTCTGAACACAGCAAAGTCCCCGCTCATCTATTTGATCCAAGGGCTGCTTTGCCAAGTGAATGCTGATCCAGATCAAAATGAACAAGGTACCAAAAAGCTATGGATGAGCTTTGCTGTTTTCAGCATCCAAACGGACGCTGTAAGTATAAATGTAACCACATTTATACTCACATCTCTAAGCTCCTGGCAAAAGCACAGGTTACTGCACTTGCGGTACCTGCTGTTCCCAGATTCAGCTACAGCAAAGGAAGCTCTTTCACCCAAAACAGAAAACTTCAACCTAAACATCACCCCAGGAACTTTCAGTTTTCAGTCCTCACTGGCTCCAAGATAAATGCAAGAGATTTAACTCAGCCAAACCACCTCAGATTCTCACCCCAAACCAGCCTTTCATTCCCTAGGCTGCAGCTGTTCTTGATCCCAGTAAACAGCAGTAAAGCCAATGAAAGGCTGCCGGTTTCCTGCCACTAATGCTGGCAACCTGGAGAAGAAGGAGCAAGCACACAGGAGCAGGTTAAAGCCTGACAAGCACTACCCTCTTGTGAGCAGCAAAGAGGCTCAAGTGCAGGAGGATGGCTCGGAGCAAGCTTCCAAAAGTCCGATGGCAAAAGCTTAGTTTGAAGCTTGTGTCCCATCAGTGAACAGCTCTCAGAAGCATCCTGGTATTACGAGCAGGATTTGGGCTCAAATCTCCCAACTTCCTTCCTCCTTCCAAAAGCAGAGGATAAAGGGTGGACTTCCATCTATTCCCTGGATTGCCAGCACCTAGATCGAGCAGTCTGACACACCACAAGTCAAATAACAAAGAGCTTTCTGAAGTCCCCTAAAGTTCAGTCAGCAGCAGGGTCACTGAAAGTAAAGGAACTCAGTAATGGCTTAATGGATTTCCATTTTTTACCCTTTAAAAGCAATCCTGACTAATTTAGTAGCATTTGCTTTCTAAAGCATTAATTTATCAGCCAGGGTTTAATCATCACAGCATCCTATCATAGCCAGGCTAGCACAGAGAAACTAATGGCTGTATTAAACAGTCCCTTTAAGGGAAGCAACACATCTCTACTTAGAAGAGCTGCTTAATGCTATTAGAAAATTAAGGGGTCATTTATAGCACAGACAGAGCTGGGTAAGTTTAGATCCCAGTTCAACAGAAGCCAGCCCAGAACCCCAAACAGTTCACACTGCCCCACGTTTAACTGGTGGTGTATGCTGTACAAACACACCTGAGCTTTATAGTTCCTCCATCCCTATCACAGCTGCAGCACTGCATGGAAATACAACAAAATGGGAGAGCTGAATTTTACCTTGGATATAAAAAGAGATTCCAACTTGTGAGCAGGAACTCTGTGTACACTGATACCTGTTTTCTTGAGGTTTCCTTTAGCATTTTCCAGGAATTACCAAGAGAGGGATGGAGATGCTTGCTTCTTTTCTGTCTACTTAGCTGGTGGAAGAAGTTCCATACCGCAGCTGCATACACATGATGGTCAGTTCTCTGCACTTCACCGTGCCTTAAACAGGCACAACACACCGAGAACTTCCATCACCTCAAATCCTCTTCAAGGTCTCTGAAAGGTATTACTATTCCATCTCTTTTATTGCAAACCCTTTGTCCAGGCTGTCCATCATAGCAGCAAAACTGGCTTTTTTTTCCCTAAAGACCTAGTATTCTCCAGTAAAGAAATACTTCAAGATGTGTTATTTTGAGCACAAGGATTCCAACCAACTCCTTGTTTTCCTGTTTGGAAAAAGCTATTGGACAGAAGACAGCAACTACTGGTACTTAGAGAAGCTACTGGTACTTACAGAAGCTCTTTTGCTTGTTCTGATGCTCTTGTCCAGCGTGATCTTAAGGTCCTTTCCAACCCTAACTATTCTATGATTCATGATACACACTTGAGTGAGAAAGACATAGAACAAGTTTTAACTTCCTTGGCCCTCCAAGCAGACAGGGACAGCAATGGAAACTCTGCCTTTACACGCAAATCCCATGCCTAGGACCACGCTTGGAGCATAGATCGATCTGTGCACTGATGCAAAAGGATGTTCACCATTTTCCTAGCCATAGGCTGAGTAGTTTCATTAGAGCTTTCTCTAAGTCAGAGGATGTAAATGTTGCCATAAAGTTCTAACCCCGGGGAGCTGGGGTTTTATTTTCACTGATGGGACTTCAGCCATGGCCTGTTAAGGTGGTTTTTAACTCTAAACATGGCTATGGAGGCATCTCGGCTGCAAGCTTTCAATAGTAACCTCACCAGAACGTGGTAAATCACTGCTGTGGATAAGCCCTATGGAATATATACAGATGTTTGACAACATAGAACAGTTAGGGTTGGAAAGGACCCTCAGATCATCTAGTTCCAACACCCCTTCCGTGGGCAGGGACACCTCACACGTAACACATCAGTACCCAAGAAGGCCATGTTGAAATCAGAGCTTGATGATGCAATAGCATGAGACAGTTACAAACTGTATCTGTTTCATATCCTTCTTGGGGACCTCTTAGAAGAAAAACAACCCTTTAGAGCCCAACTGAGCTCCTGAACAGACTAAATGTGAATTCTCTTGGAGGCTGCCTGCCCCTGCACAATGCCCAGCTAGCCTGGACAACGGTGACACCCATACTAGGTGAATTTGTGCTGTGAAGCCAGAAGCATTCAGAGGACTCTTGAGACTTCTTCTATCAGACTGAGGAGGAAAACGGGTTAGGAAACAGGCACAAATTGAACTGATGTGTGTCAAGGTTGGCATGGAAAGGACAAAAGGCCTAGCTATTCCATTAGAGCCTGCCTATATCTTCATCCCTATCAATAAAAGGGATGTATTAGCCCAGAGAGGTGGGAATAATAAGGACAGAGCTCTGCTTTGAGGCCACTATTCCCAAAGGTATTTCTCACCAACAAAGACTGCTAAGCACATGATTTAAGTTTCACTCAGGAGCCACGGTGTTGCATAGGGGACCAACTACACAGGAGACAAAATGAGAGTAAGAAAGTGTATCTGCAGACAGCAGGATGAGTGTTTCATATGCAAACTAAGTTCCAGTTTCAGCTCTCTGCAATATGAGCACCTCAAACCTGGCTCGAGTTGATGATGTTCACATCCTGATGCATTCCAACAGGCTGGACCAGCGCAGCATGTGCAATCTGTATCTTTATTTTGTGCTTTACATGACATGTGGTGTTATTTTGCAGCTTAATGGCTATTTTAATCCTCTCCATCACCGAAGAACGTCATCTTTGACGTGATGTAGATGCATACCGTTCAATGGGAGCTGCTTGGAGATGTATTTCAAGAGATATTCCAAGGCAAATCCTTACAAAACCAAAATCTCTGCTTTACTTCATCTGCAGTATTTAAAGCTAGCCGTTATAAACAGTAAAAACCTACCAGCTCCCTATTAGGGGACGAGAAGCAGCTTACAGGCAGGTTTAATCATCACACACTGTTAAATAAAACAGCAGAACAATATGAGAAAAGCTAACTTTTGGCCAAAATATTGCAATACAGCAACAGGAACCCCAAAAAGCCAAACTGAAACCAAGGACAGCACTGAAGAGAAGTCATCTTCGCTCCTCTCTTGAAGAAAAAGGCCATTTAGAGCCTTCTACACTAGAGATGAAGCTTGCAGTTCTGTGGGTATCTTGATAGCATTCTGCTCTGGAGCAGTCAGTTTGCTGTTTGCATGCACAGGACTTAGAAGTTGGCCAGTTCAGAACAGGAATGCTCTTGAAATAGAGCAGCACCTATTACAACAGGATGCCAAGGATGCATTCTAGTCAGTGCCCTGCAATGACAGAGGGAATTAACATGCTGTGGAAAGCCTCCCATATGGGTATATACTGTGAGAAGTATTCTCTTCCTCCCACCAATTCACATGGGAATCTTGCTCCATGTAGCTGCTCACATGTTGTAGTTCCATCCAAACCTCGGAATTTCAGCCTCTACTTCAACATGCCTTTTGCCTGTATTGTGGCATTTACATGGAAGCATATGGGGAAAGACTTCCTGCCATCCTAACGTTAGGAATCAAGCTCTTCTTGTCAGTCTTCCTTAGGGCCACGCTGCTGAGGGAAGGATCTGGTGGAGAGGGAGAGAAGGCAAAAGGACTTTGTCTCTTAACCTGAGAGATGAAGACATCCTGAAGCGAGATGCATTTCAAAGGATGGATCCATTCCTATCTAAACCCTCTGCACAGAACACAGCATGGGGGACTCAAACCCCAGGTGATGACAGTTTTCAGTGTCATTAGCCAAAGTTCTCATTCACCAACCCAAGTAGAGCTGTACAAGCACACAATGAGAAGACCAACAAACAGAGAAGGTGAGGGAGAGCCAAGCAAATCACAAGCTGTGATTCAAACCATGAAGCCAGCTCTGGCCAAGGCTGGGATGCAGCAGTGCAAAGCCTCCATTGCATCAAGGCTGAGCTCTGTCAGGCCATTCATCTCCTGCCTTTGTGAGTGGTGAATTGCTTCCGAGCAGGCGGCTGTTGCCCTAAACAGAATCTCCACATACTGAGTAGCTTTGTTGCAGAGCAACTCTCGATGCCATCTGAACAAGACAGCATTTATCAGAAGCAACAGGGGCAGGAACACTTCTTCCCCAAGCCTCCAGCGGGTCTCTCTTGCTGTGACATGATGCTGTGTGCCAGGCTCCACACACCCATAGGAACACCCCAACTTCAGTCCATGACCCACACGCTCAGCCTCTTCTGGGGTCTGGTTCTTGCCTAAGTCCTCAGCACCGTGTCCAAAGGCTGAGCTCTAATACACCAACACGTTGCCAACCCAAAATCCCAACTTTCTTGGTTGACCATCAAGGAAAAAACCTTGTTCACTGCTTGAGGTTTTGAGGCTCTACTTTAAGACTGTGGAAACAAAGCAGTTATTTCAAACCCTGCAACTCAAACTACTTAGAGGAACTTAATTTATCCCAGCAGTACAAATGGGAGCTGTGAGCATCACAGAATAAGTCTGGGTTGGAAGGGACCTTCAAGGGTCATCTAATGCCCTGCAATGAGGCCATCAGGATGCTCAGAACCACATCCAGCCTGGCCTTGGATGTCTCCAGGGATGGATGATGCTCCATTCAAGAGTAATAACTGGACACGCAGCAGCATCAAAGCACATACATGAGCACTGCCATACCCTACCCTTGAGAACTCGGCTCTGACCAAGCCCCTCAACGCAGGCTGGGGTGCTCTGCCTGGATCCTGCCACCGCTCCCTTCTTTCGGGTTTCTAAACACGTATGTGTGAAACACTGCAGACATCAAATCCAATTTCTTCAGCAAGAGCTGTGATAAATTATGCAGAGACAGACTCACGTTCAACTGCTGATACAGTCGCTGGGAACTCGGAGCACAGGCCTGAACCCACATGCTGCATTTCATCTTTGGAGAGCAACACTCAGCAGATAAAAGCCCCTCTCTATTTGAGCCACAATTACTGTACCACTACCAGCCTAGGGAGTCAACTGGTGCTTGGGATTAGTGATTTACAGTTCATGGAGGATCATTTTTGGCAAGTTACTAGTCCCAGTATGAATGGGAAAAGATTAAACAGCGATAAAACACCCTATGACTTAACTTAGGCCTGGCAACGTGTCATGCCAAGCCCAAAACCACATAGAGGACGTGGTGCTTAAAAGCTTTATGTTGGAGATTACCATGGGTCTAAGCAGAGACCAGCTTCTGCTGTGAATATGCAATCCAAATCCGCTTGAAACAGGAGTGCATCGTGTTCATTGTGACAGATGGCAACGGCAAGACTTTGCTTTCTGTTCCTGTCACTTCACACCACAGCATCAGAACCAGTGGGATTCACCAAGCCAAAACCCCAAAGAAGAGGGACAAAGCTTTCAACAGGAGCTGGAGCTAAAAATAACAGAAGGGCCTTTAAAGAGCAGCCCAAAGATGAAACAGAAATGCAAATGTTTGGCTTTTGATTTCAGCACTGCAGTTAGCATAGGGCAACTCCTGGAAAATACCCAGCACTCCACCAAGGCTGTTTCATCTCCGCTGTAGCATCATCAAGAGACCATTTCCGAGGTCTCCTCGCTGACTGCTTCAGTGCTTTGAGGTGGCAGATTAAAGAAGGCAAGCACAGCATCTGCGTGAGAAAATGCAAGCTCCTGTTGTACAGAGTTAACAGAAGAATGCAAGAATTTGAACCCCCAAAACACTGACGACACCTCAGAACCTATCAGACATCTGAAAACAGAACCTAAGCAGCAAGTGTTTGTTGGAGGGGGAAAAAAGGACCTAAATAAGGGAACTCTTGAGGTTAAACACTACTTCTATTTAAAAGTGATCAGTAAAATGATCCTTCTTAAATGGACACTTCCCTATCAACCTGCTGTTACAGCCAGGAGCCCCAGACATCACTGTGTGCTTGCAGCCGCTTCGACCTGCATTGAAAGACCCTTTTGGCTGCTGTAATTTTGTTAGAGAGAAACTACTGCATGCAGTCACTTAAATGCATCCCTGTCCCAGAGCCAAAGCCTGGCATCCGAGGGCTGAAGCACGCTTAGCATCCACGCTGCACCTCTGCATGGTACCAGGTTGGAATCGCATTGCCAAGAGGAGAGCCATAACACTACTGATGGCTTGTTGCCTTACCTGGAGCCAAGACACATGAAGCTTTAGTGACATTCCTGGGAAGGAACAGTCAGCTCCCACCTTCTATGGGTTTCTCTTCAGGCTGCAGCTGTGCTGGCCATTTCTAAGCCCTCCCTATTTGGTGACTTGCAAAACTCAGGCTCAAAGTCATCATTTCATGATGTTTTTCAGTCCCAAAAGGCACCAAGGAGTTGCTGATTGCGCCTCTTCTGTAAGCTTCTTTAAAGCTGGCTGCACAGGATACCAACGGCAGAGCCAGCTCCATCAACTGGAGACAGCCACAGCAATCCACCACACTGCTGACCAGGGCAAAATCCTAACAGTTGGAATAACTGGTGGGAATCTCCAAGGTTCAGAAGAGGAAACCCCCAAGAAGAAGCCTACAAAGAAGATGAATTTAAACTCTGGATTGCCACTGCTCAGCAGGCTTGAGAGCTAAGACTGAGCCCAGATGCTACGGCAGGAGGTTAGAGGTGGATGAGTTTTAAGGTCCTTTCCAGCCCAAACCAGGCTGGGATTCTATGAAGTGCCACCAAGAGCAGCAATTCTGACTCCTCACACTAGTTAAGAGCGACTGGCACTAAAGATATAACCCAAAAGGAAGGGCTGCCATGGATAAACTCGTACAAGAACATGATTGCGGCTGACAGCACGAAACACAACCAAACATTATAACTAAATTTAATCCATATAAGGACCTATCTTTCAAAACTAACGCATTTATTCTCTCTCCCTCTGGCTGTACACAGAATACCCAGTGTAATACATCAAACCCAAGCGCTGGTAAGCGGCTTAGCCACATGCATTTCTGGTCAGGTGGGTCCCTGATTACATAAAGCCAAGCAGGCTGGTTTGCTGCCAGAAGGATGCCTTTAACACTGTTTGCAGGCCATGAGGATTCTCATTGTTCAGCCCAAGTTGGAACTTGGGATAACCACACAGAGAGGTGCAATTGTGTGTTTTAAACACAGAATCACAACCTGCTTTGGAAGGGATCCTTAAAGCTCACCCAGTTCCAAGGGCAGGGACCCCTTCCACTAGAGCAGCTTGCTCCAAGCCCCTGCATCCAACCTGGCCTTGAACACTGCCAGGGATGGGGCAGCCACAGCTTCTCTGGGCACCCTGTGCCAGTGCCTCAGCACCCTCACAGGGAAGAGCTTCTGCCTAAGAGCTCATCTCAATCTCCCCTCTGGCAGGTTAAAGCCATTCCCCTTGTCCTGTCCCTGCATCCCTTGTCCAAAGCCCCTCTCCAGGTTCCCTGCATCCCTTTTAGGCACTGGAAAATGGGGTGAAGGTAGTGAATCTGCAAACCTAATGGTTAGAAATTCCACTAAACCCAGCCAAACTCTCTCTTCTGAAATGCACATTTTCTTGTGCTCGTTCTCTCAGGAATTCACTTGTTTCTTTCCCCTACAGCACGTAACCTGAAGCACAACTTGCCCTGCTTTAGCTGAAGTTACCCTTTAGCCTGCTGCTTCCAGTGAGGAGCCACCAGCCCTCCTGAACCAGAGAAGAAAAACAAGTATGCCACTTGGTCAGGCCACAAGAAAGAGTAACCTGCCCATTTACTTCACTCACATCTTCCTTCTTGCTGCTTTATAACTTAGTAGTAAGCATACAATACATATATGCATCTACAGAGTTCCTTTGAGGCTTTGTGCAATGTTGTCAATCTGTTTCCTCTCTCCACACCCCTTAGTGCAGCAACAAAGCTGAAAAATGGCAATACTGGAATGCAAATAACAAAATTAATACAGTCAAAGTGCCCTAAAGACTCCATTTAAGATAAACAGGAAGGTAAAAGCTGTGGCAAAGAGCTATGGGCCAGTAGAAAGAGCAGATAGTGGCATATAGAATCAACTAGGTTCGATAAGACAGTCAAGATCATCAAGTCCAACTGCTCCCCCAAGACAGTGCATTTCTCTTCTATTTCCAACTGAAGACCAAGGTTTTGGTTTAAGTACGCTTGCAGAAGCAGATGCTACAGTCAGAATAACTTCTATAGACAACATTAAGGTCCAAATGCCCCCAAGAAGACACATAAAGAGTAAAAAAACAGGTATAATTTTTACAAGCATCATCTAAGGAGAAGCTTAAACGGCGTACAGAGCACTGACACTGCATTAATCCTTCCTTTGCACTGTAAGGGGCTGAAGGAGTAGCTGTATGCGATGATCACAAAGCTCACACCCAGCAAAAGCCACCTACACAATAGGTTTGAATAGCTCTCAGGAGATGCAACGAACACATTAACACCAAAACCCACCGGCAGAGACATTAATGCCCAAAACCCCTTTGAGAGAGAGACCATAAATATTCCACATGTGAAACAAGAGGAGCTGAAGGCCTTCTCCAAAGAGCAGGGCTTACCTTGCCACGGCATTCCACAATGCAGCAGGAA